TCAAGCTCCGGGGGTGGGGATGCGGGGAGGGGCGGCGGCTGGTGGCCGACGTCGCCCGGCTTCAGCTCCTGGCTCTTGCGACGCGGCGACGGTTTCGGTGGCGCCATCTTCCTCGTCTTCGTCGTCGGCTCCGTTGCGACGTCGGTCCTCACCTCCTTCAGTAAGTCGGGCGTTGCCTGCTGTTGATGGTCGACCTCTGTTCTTGTCGTCGTCGTCGTGGTGGTGATGGTGGAGATCTCACTCTCGGTGGATATCAGTCGTTCTGTCTTCTGCTCGCCGATGTCTATGCCTCTCTCGTTAATCGCTATCTCGACTTCCTTGTAGCGCGTGGCGTCATTCTCTACTTCGTTTGATTTCACTTTCTTATCCTTGCTCTTCTCTTTCTTCTCCTTCTTCTTGTCCTTGTCTTTTCCTTTTACTTTGTCCTTCTTTAGCTTGGTCAGCTTCTTCACCTTCTTCTTCTCCGACTTCTCTTTGCCGTCAATGTCGGAAGACGAGGAAGAGGACGACGAAGAGTTCGAGGAAGAGGAAGAAGACGTCGATTTCTTTTCGTCTTCCTTCTCATCCTTCTTCTCCGATTCTCCACCGCCGCCGGCTATGATAATTTTCGCTTCCTTGTCTTTCTTCTTGTCCTTCTTCTCCTTTCCTTTCGACGTCTTCTCCTTCTCCTTCTCCTCTTTCTTCGATGTCTTCTCCTCCTTCTCATCCTCGCGCCTCACCGCGCCATCCACCCCGTAGTCATCTCTCACCACCATCTCCTCCTCTTTTCGCGTAGCAGTCGTCGGATCGTGCGCTACCTCAGGAGCCCCTCCCGCCGCCATCACCCGCGGTGGCGCGCGTTTCGGCTTAGCAATGGCGATGTCCCTCACGCTAATCTTCCCCGCCTTTCCGTTCTCTCCCTCGGCGGCCGCCTGCACGAGAAACCTCTCGTTGAGCGACCGCGTCGACGCCGAGCTCTGAACATACTGCTCGGCGACCGACGTCGTACCCGTCGCCGTCGTCGTCGCCGCGGGCCGACGCGTCATGATGCCGCTGCTGCGCAACCGACGCGCCACCGCCTCGCCGCGGTCGACCTCGTCAAGGTCGTTCGTCGAGCGGCTGCGGTACATCGGGTGACTGCACAACCCGCTGTCGTCGCCACCGCGCGTGCTGCCGGCGCGCGTCGGCGGGGACGGTTTCGGACCGGCGCGCGCTTTCTCCAGCTCGAGTTCGACGTCGTAGGGTGAGCCGTAGCTGAGGATTGTCAACGCGTCCTCGTAGGTGACGTTACGGAAGGAGACGCGCACGCTGAGGATGCGATCACCTGCATGAAGAGCAGAGAAGGAAGTCAGAAAGGAAGGGAAGCAAGTCAGAATGAAAGAAAAGGGAAGAAGAGAGGGCAGGGAAAGGACAGGAAAAAAGACAGGAAGGGAGAGAAAGGTCAGCTAGAGGATACCATCGACTGTTCGTGTGGAAGATTGTGGGTGGTTCGAACTGCGAAGCGCGGTAATGGCTTTTTAATGTGTAGGGTTAACCGGAAGAGGCTTTAAAATGTATTTGATACTAACTGGTGACGTTTTTTGTCATGTCGGATATAGTTTTAGCATCAGGTAATCATTTAATGGCCAGTTCAGTATTTGTAATTTATCGACGAGTTTTTCTTCCATTTTTTAGATATTGTATGAGTAATAATAATGATTTTTATGTTGATGTTGATGATGGTGTTGATATTGACGTTGATATTGGTGTTGATGCTGATATTGATGTCGATGTTGATTTTCATGTTGATATTGATAATTTCCACATAGTTTAGCTCGCGATCTCAATCGGCTCACCTTTCTGCACCTTGCCAGACTCGCTGGCTGGACCGCGGCTGAGAACGTTCGATATGAATATTCCATCGGTCATGTTTCCCTGAATGTTTATACCAAGACCCACGATGTCGTGGCTCTTCAATGGAACGTGGACGACTTCTGGTGGCTGCAAACAAGTGAACGCGTGGCGTTAACATGGTCGTTAGGGCATATAGTACCAAGTTCGTTGACGTATGCGCCGAAACTCTCTAAGTATTTTTTAATTAATTTCTGTTTGATGCTTTCGCTTCAGGCCTGCTGCCTATGGACGCCCTCTGCTGTTGTACAACACCTTAACGTGGTTGTGGGCACAGTACCAAGTTCACTGCCGTATGCGCCAAAAACCCTAAATATATTTTGTTCTATGCTTATTCAGACCTGCTGCCTATGGACGCTTTGTACTGTTGTACAACACCTTAACGTGGTTGTGGGCATAGTACCAAGTTCACGGACGTATGCGCCGAACTCCCTAAGTATTTTTTTTATTAATTTCTGTTCGATGCTAATTTAAGGTTGCTGCCTATGAACGCGCCTTATACTGTTGTATACCACCTTAACGTGGTTGTGGGAATAGTACCAAGTTCGCTAAAAGCGGTTTCCTTACGGTATGCGAATCGCCGTGTGCAAATATCACTGTTGTGTTATGATCGGTTTATTGTGCCCCTGTGTAAGCACGTACAGGCTGCGCACGTGTGGCTGCATACTTGCAGAGGTCCCCTCACGAACAGCGTGTGTTACGTGTCCGTGCTGCACCTGTCACTACCTGTGCTGTGTGCTCAGGACACACCTACAGGAAGAGATGTGTGGCACGCGTTTATGGTACATCCACACAGATGCCTATATTACATGTCACTCCTTTCACATATTGCACGCGACGTTGCGTGGTTACGTTACATCTCGAGTTAGCTGCGTTACGTGTCCATTTTACACGTGCACCTATGTGTGTATTTCTTAGCTATGTTGCACCTGCAATTGCGCGTGTTTGGTGCTCGTCTGACATCACAGTGCTGTTTATACTACTGTGTCGACATTATTGTTTGACATTACTGTGCCATTATACTGTTTCTGTTTTACACGGGCGCGTTTCTACCTGCATGAATACATAGTAGCGACTGTCCGACTGCTGTGCTCCCCAGCTAGGTGGGGACAGCCATCTTACATCGGAGTCGGGCCTGCTGCTGCTGTTGTTTGTCAGGTTTTGTTAGCCACGGATTATCGTAAAGCCTGTTTGACAACACATTGAATGCCTACAGGAGACGTCCGCTGCCTGCTGCTAGCTAGCAATCAGGTTCCAGCAGAGACACGCACAGAGACACTGTGACTAGGCAACATCGTGCCCCTATCTCATCACCTATCCCTGCTTTCACTCCGTATCTTCAACGATCACCTTCATCGACTCCACGATGTCTACATCCGTGAGGCCGCTGTGTACTGCTCGCAACGATGAAAGCGATTAAGTGATGCTTGCGATTGCATCTATCTATCTATCTATCTATCTATCTATTTACCTATCTATCTATCTATCTATCTATCTATCTATCTATCTATCTATCTATCTATTTACCTATCTATCTATCTATCTATCTATCTATCTATCTATCTATCTATCTATCTATCTATCTATCTATCTATCTATCTATCTATCTATCTATCTATCTATC